AGAGGTAGTAAGCGTCCTGAACCAACCTCAGTGGCTACCTCCCCCTCCCTTCTTTTCTTCTTCCCCTCCCCCTCCCTTCTTTCCTTCTTCCCCTCCCCCTCCCTTCTTCCTTCTTCCCCTCCCCCCCTCCCGTCTCTCTTTCAGGTCCTTGGAGCCAGTGGCAAAGTATGGAGTGGGATATGTGTGAAGTGGCCTCTCTCACACCAAGGGTAGGGGGAAGAGAGGGTCAATATGGGCCCCACCACGCCAGGAAAGGGAACAGGAGGAAGCTTGGACAGAAGGCAGGGGTTTGCTAAGGGATTGAGGGCCAGGAAGACAGAGAATGATAGAGGGCTTGCATGTTGCTCCCCTTGCCTCGTAGCTGCCCTGGTGGCAGCTGGGGTGGAGCCGAGAGGGGGAGGGAGAAGGACAGGGAGGGGGAATGCCCAGCTGGAAGAGGCCTTGTCTAATTGTGCCTGATTAGTAGAGAGGAAGAGAACAGGGCGAGTGATTAATAGTCTCGGCAGTCACCAGCATGTGCAGGAGGAGAGTTGGGAGGGGGAGGGAAGCCAGAGCCCAGAGGGAATGGAGACAGTGAAGTGCTCACAGGTCCCTGGTCACCTGCCGCTCAAGAGGCTGCCTGGACCCCACAGAGAGGGGCAGAGTCCTACCCCTGCCTCCTCAAGGATTCTCCGTCTCCCCTGTGCCTCAATTTCCCAGACAACAGAATGGAAAAGACCAGGGTGTCACATCCTGCCCCTGGGAAGAAAGGTGCACTATTATTGTGGTGCTTCCAAACGCCTCGATATACCCACACAGGCGCTTTCCTCAGCTCAACCTGGTACCTCAGCCCAGAGAGTGGATGCCAGGCACAGCCCACAGCTGTCATCCTCCGTTCTTTGATACCAGTTGGAGCTCCCAGTCCCACCCAATCAGGCAGTCTGAACCTCGTTCCCAGGACCAGAACTGCTCTGTCCAATACGGCAGCCACGAGCCACATGAGGCTATTTGAATTGAGCATTCATTTTCTGTCACACTAATCACATTTCAGATGCTCAATAGCTGGGATGGCTAGTGACTACCATGTGGGGCAGCACATTTCTGTCATCACACAATGTCCTGTGGGAGAGCGGTGATCTCAAGTGTGTGCTCTCGCTCCTGCACCTGTGCCCGTGTGCATGAATATTTGGGAGGGTTGGCTAGCATGGGAATGCCATAATGGGGGAGAGGGGAGTGCGGGCCTCAGGGTGAGGAAGGGGGAAGGGTAGGTGAAGGAGTAGGGAAGATGCTGGTGTCCGGGTCAGAACACGGCAGGCAGTGCTGGGAACAGCCAGGTTAAAGAGAGCCAGGAGTTGGGGTGGTGGCATTTTAACAGCTGACACTTCCAGGGTGCACCCTAGCACCTCTTGAATCCTCACAGCCACCCACATTTTTTTAGGTTCGAATATTTTATTGAATAACTACGGAATCTGATGCTTAGGGATGCTTTTTTACTCCTCCAAGGGCAAGCCGCTTAAAGGGCAGAGCTGAGGTTCGAATCCACATGGTCTGGCTCCAGAACCCACACACTTGACTGCCATACCGTGCCATCCCCAGTGAGAGGAAATGCTGAATCTTAGAGTCATCCTTGCATTTTACAGCTAAAGAAATGACGCCTAGGAAGACACAGTGATGTCTGCCTTCTAAGTAAGTGGGCAGGCTGAGAGCAAGCAGCAGTGGGGAGAGTGTAGATGGGGCTTGGAGCATTGGGGTGGGGACCCAAAGGCGGAAGGAATCAGGGAGGAAGGGGAGAATATAGGTGGTGGTGAAATTATGAGGTGGAGGTGGGAGTGGCTTGGTATGAGACTGAGTAAGGAGAGGGTAAGGAAAGAGGAGAACAGCCGGGCGGGCTAGGTGGAGGGCATCATGGGCGAAGAGGCCAGAGTACCCTCCCCATCCAGGAGCCATCTTCTTTCTCTCTCTCTCCCCCCTCCCCTTTCTCCTTTCCAAACCTCACCCAGCCCAGCATGGCTCATTCCTTAAACCTTCCCAGTTCTCTTCTGTCCAGAGTAGCCTCCCTCTCTGAACTCAGGCTCTTACCATCCATGTACCTAGTTTGGCAATGAATCCTGGTGTCTCATGACACCACTTGGTGTGCATGGCTGGTTAACTCTTGCATGGCTGGTTAAGCTTTTGAGTGGCCCTGTCCCTATTCCACCACAAGACTGTAGGTTGCTTGAGGACAGGGACTGGGCACTAGGGCTTCCCTTCTTTGTCCTCCCTGCAGCACCTGGCAGGGAGCCTGGCCCCGGGTGGCGCTCAGAACACCATGTTGATTAACTGAGTAAGTAGCTGATTGGGAGTCAGCGAGGGGATATCAGGAAGCGTGGGGGTGAGGGGGGGGGGGAAGCAATCGCAGTGGTAACAGAAGCAAGAGCAGCAGCTTAGGGGACTGGGGGAGGGTGCATTACCCAGAGTAAAAATAGGCTGGAAAATGTGACATTTATTAACTTGGATTCCGGAGGAAAGGTCACAGCAGAGTGGGGAGTTGAAAGAAGGAAACAGGAAAAGCAACACAAAACACACAACAGCCCCTTCCTTACTCAAAGCGTGTCTCTGTCACTGGCCATCTCCCCGCTCACGCCCTGGCTGTTTCTCCACCAACTGGACCCTGTACCCATCTCCCCACCATCGGTCCCAGATCTCTGGCATGGCTCCAGGATCTCACCACAGTTCAGAATGGACCTCATGCCCTCATCAGAGACCCCGTGCCACTTCTCCCGTCTTGCCACAACAATACGCCCATCTTCCTCAATGCCATGGTTCATGGACCCCACTCACAAGCCATAATCCCAGACCCTGTGAATCTGCAGCAGCCTCAGCCCTAGAATGCCAGGTCCAAGGGAGAGTTATACTCAGGAGATGGGGGAAGGGGTGCAGGCAGAAGGTATGGGGTCTAGACTGGGTCAGGGAAAGGGGGAGCACGATCCAAAGAGAAATTCCTTCCCCTCAATGCTTGCTTTGCCCCTCTGCCCCTCTGCCCCTCATCGTCCTGCCGCAGCCCCAGCGCTGAGACCCACACACACATGTGTACTATCCTCCTCTCCCCAGCCCCAGCGCACACAAGGGCCCGTGGGAGATCCACCTTCATCTCGCGGGGGCATCCCCAGAATTCAGACTCGCCAGCCTTGTACAGGGGACTCCCTCTTCCCGTATCCTCTGGCACCTGCTCCTCTCCTGAAGGCCAGGCAGGAGCCCCTGCCTCCTCACCTTGCTTCCCCATCCCTTTTATCTCTGCCTCCCCTTCTCTCCCACTGGGATTTCATCACCCTTCCTCTTCCCTTTCCACCCCAGCCGGGGCCAGGGACACAAACTCCAGCTCAGGGACACAAAGCGCCCATTGATTTCTGCCCCAACAGCACCTGCTGAGACTGAGCTTTGTACCCCCACCTCAGACGGGTGAGGACGCCATATAGAAGAGTCCCACGGATCTGAACATCCGCATTCACACTGCACTCCCCACCTCTTTTGGGGGACACTCAAGCTCTGGGTTTGGGAGCAGTGACTTTTTCATAGAAGAGGGGGTTTGTAGCAGGATGACAGGTCAGTGCCCTGACTCCTGTCCCAGCACACCCCATCTCTCTCTGCCCCTTCCCCCATTCTTACCCAATGGCAGGAGGACCCCGAGGCTGCAGGTGGGAGGCAAGCACCCAGTGGGAGCATGTTTCCTGGTGATACTGAGGCAGTGAGTGAGTGAGTGAGAACCTGGGTAGGGGTGGCCTGGCCATAAGGAGGGAAAGTCCCCCGTCTCCTGGGCTGGCCCTGGAGGCTGGGCTGGAGTGGGTACCATGTCGACAACACATATGTGCATATGCATCTGGGCAGTGGTGACATGCATGAAAACACTCACATACACAATGCTGGGAGTAAACAGGACTGGGACAGGCATCCCAAGCACCAGGAATAATAGGTAACCCCTGACTGGGTGAATGGAGCACTGACATACAGACAGCATGCAAGACAACCCCCCCGCCCCCATACACACACAGACACATACTCACATACATGGTGAGAGATGGTGACAGCAGTCCCCACATGGGGAGCAGGGTTGAGAGAGATAGGGGGTATCACAAGAGGGCATGGCATCCACAGCATGATCCCGGGATCCTTGGCAGCTAAGTAAGAGCTGGGATGTGGGCACAGAGATATGTAGCTCTCTAGCTGTGTGGGTGTGCAGGTGTGCAAGTGAGTGTAATGGCAGGGACACTGAGTGTGTGTGTGACAGGGAGTGTGCAGGAAACTGTGTCCTGGAGCCATAGGTGTGTGTGTGTGTGTGTGTGTGTGCTGGACAGCCATGAGGGTGAGCCATGCACACAAGAGTAAATGAGTGATTCTTAGTGTCAGAGCCAGAGCCGGGCAAGGGAGCAGCAGGAACCAGGAAACGGAGGGAGGGACTGGAACGCGGGAGAAGCCGGAGGGGCAGCATGAAAGAGGGATGTGTGAGGGAGCCTGTGAAAGGGGGTGTGTGTGAGAGACAGAGACAGAAGAGACACTGACACCCAGTGTACGCGAACATCCTCTCCATCCAGCCTGCCTCCTGGGCCAGCTCCCTAGGCGACAGTCGGAGGCCCTCCCTTGCTGGAACCCCACATACAACCTCTCCCCTTCACCCTCATTTGATGAGGAGAGGAACCCAGAAGCCACAGAAGAGAAGTGGGGTCAGTTGGCCCAGCCGTGGCGTGGTGCATTCCTTCCCTGCAAGCTGACCAGCTTTGGGGCCCCTGAGCCCCTCCAGGACCCCAGCCCAGACCTGGGCACTGCGGTGGCAGCAAAGCCAAGAGGAGGAGCAGCAGCAGCGCCAGGGTAAGCCCCTGGGTGTCCCCGGCTCCGTGGCTGGGGAGCCAGAGGGAAACACCAGGCTTGGGGAGACCTGAGGCCAGCCCCTGGTGGTGGAAGGAAGGAAAACCCCATTGAGGATGCCCCCACGCACCACCACCCCCCTCCAGCCACCCGGGCCAGGCGGGCCAGCTGGCAGGACTCACCACGGAGAAGTTGCTGGCGGAGCAGTGATGCCCACTGAAGTTGCAGCTCTTGAGCATGTCGGCAAGCTGGTGGCCAGTGCGGTTGAGGATGTCTACCATGTCGGGCTCCGGGTAGCGCAGGCCGGCGGCTCGGTGCCCGTCCCGGTCTTTGGGGGGCAGCCCCGTCAGATTGGCCAGGTGGAAGATGTCAGCGTCGCTGAGCGCCGAATGCCGGAAGCGGTTGATGTTGCAGAGGGTGACAGCCGGGAAGCCCGCCACTGGGGCCGGGGCGGCGGGGTCCATTGCCACCAGGTGAGGCCAGCTCAGGTAGCCCCGGGCCAGGCCTGCCGCCTGGTACAGGAAGGCGGTCAGCGAGGTGAATAGAGCCAGTGCCCACAGGGTTCTACGAAGTCCGTGGGGGCCTGGGCCGCAGGCCCGGCCCAGCCCATGCAGAGTGCTTGTGCTGGCAAAGGTGGCCAGGTCCCGGGGTGCTGCTGCCCCCCGCGCAGCCCCCAAAAGGCTCTGCTCATCCCCTGCCTCCTTCTCCTTGGGTTTCGCATCCTCCTCTGCAAATTTGATTTTGCACACAATCTCGATCGGCATCTGTCCCCGGCTGCTGGAACTGGCCAGAGCCTCCCTGCCCCTGTCCCTCCCTGGCCAGCAGCCCCCGGTGCCCTCCGGAGTGTCGCTGGTGGCAGCGGCTGCTCTTCCAAACTCAGGGCAAGCTGGAGGAGGATGGGGACAGGGTGGGGGCCCGAGGTGGGGGAGTCACTCCCACTCCCAGCAGCTCCGCAGCCCTGGTGCTGCCTCTGCCGCCGCTGCCTCTGCCGCCGCTTGTCTCTCTCCTCGATCGTCTCCTTGTGGCTTCCCTTATCAGCACCAGCACAGCTGTCAGCCCCTGCGTGTGTCCCTGCGAGCAAGCGAGTGAGCTGCTCCGCCACGCCGCGCAGCCCCAGCCGCTCCGCTCAGCATGTGCTCCGGAGCCCACCCCGTGCTTAATAATTCAGGACATGTCAACAGCGTTTCACCGGCGGCACGGGCGGCAGGAGCCAGGCCAGGGGAGGGGGCAGCCCCTCCCGGCCCAGGACAGGGATCCCTGGTCTCTGCCTGAGACCTCGAGCTGCCCCACGAACTCTTGCTATACCCTAGCCTCTCATGGGGTCCCCTGATGGCCCCATTCCCAGGCCACCCAAGGAAGAGTGCTGCACCCAGAGTCCTCAGCGCATTCGGCCACTTTTCTGGGCCACGCCCCAGGAGGGGTCAGCCAGCTCCATCTCCCAGGTCCTGGCCTCCCTGACTCCTGACTCCAGGGTCCAGCCACCACCTGACCCCTCTCCCCCCCGCCCTACCCTGCTCACGGTGGCTTCTAGAAACTCCTTGGGAGAGCCACTTGTTTGAATGGGGGGTGGGGGCGGGCAGAGGCAGAGGGAGGCAGGATAGACAGACAAGGGGACAGCATGAGGCCGCCAAGATTCTCGGCTTCCTTAGAGCTTTGCTCCGGACTTCCACACCCACCATACCTTGCCCCCTCTGGGATGCCAGCCACCCCTCCCCCACTTTCTCCCACCCCGCCCGACTCAGTCACTCCTGGGACAGAGCGCACGAACCCTTGCGGACTGGTACATCTGTGGCCACTTCGCTTCCCCAAATTTCTAGCCACAGCCAGGCTGGGGGTGGGAGGATGCTGTTGAGTGAGCAGACCAGGGAGGAGAGAGGCCAAATGGGGGTGTTGGAGGGAGTGGATGTGTGCAGGACTTGAATGGCAGCGTGTGCAACCCCCCCAAAAAAACAGACAGGGGGTGTCCCCTGGCAGAGTGGGGCAGGGGAGCTGCCGTCCTGCCTTGGGGGGGGGGGGGGAGAAGGCAGGCATGTGGGCTGTTATCACAGGCAGGGACAGCCCCTGCTGGCAACCAGGGGGAGATGTCTCGGTTCCCCAGGGCGGGTGGGGTGGGGGGGTCACAGTGAGCAGCTTGTGATCTGGGTGCCCTGTGAAAGCATGAGTCCTCAAGGAGGAGGAAGCACTGGTCCCCTAGAGGAAATGGGGGGGGGGGGGGGCTGATTAATCGGGGCGCTAATGAGCAGCAGGGAGAGGAAGCTCAGAGGGGCGGGGGAGGCGGCTCCATCGATCCGAGAGCCGTGGAACCAGCAGCTGAAAAAAAAAAGTGAGAAGGGAATCGATCTGAGGGAAACTGCAGCTGCTGGGGATTAGAGCCCGAGGTCCACCCGCCGCCCTGTGGCCACCCCTCCTGAGTGTCAGGCGTCAAGCCCGCCCCTCGGGGCGCAGCCTGGCCCCGGAGGAGGGGCCCAGAAACAGCCCCTTGGTGGTGGTGGGGGGGGTCATGCAGGGAGCTACCCTTGGCCTCAAGACCAGGTCAGCCCCTTCAGTCATCGCAGGTCATCCCAGCAAGGATCTCAGCCCCCGCCACACGCCCTGGGGAACCGTGTGTGGCACTTCGCTGGGATTGTCCCCAACCTCCCATCAGAGTAGCATCCTCGGGGGCCCATGGCTGAGCTTTCCCACAAGCCAGCAGCCCCAGCTGGGAAGATAAGACCCCTGGGGCCAGGGCTGCGTCTGGCAGGGTCCCCAAAAGTGGGGTGAGCACTGGGAGCAGCTGCTGAGAGTCCCCCTCCCCACCCAGTCCCGCAGCCCCTCCCCTGCTTTCCCCTTCCTGCTGGACTTTAAGTCCAGACCCTTCCTCCCCCAGCCACTCTTCCCCTTTCTCCTAGTATTGATTTTTCTTTGCTTTTTTTAAAGGTGATTTAATTGCTTTTTTAAGGTTATTTCAGTCTGGGGCTTAGCCAAGGAAGCGGGGAGCTACTCCCCAAGCTTTCCCCAGTACCCATTGCTGCCCTGGACTCCACACACAGCCCTAAGTTGCCCTGCCATCCATTGAGATCGTGGTCATACTCCCCACAACACACTGGCCTCCATCAGGAGCCAAAAGCACATCCTCTTTCCTCCGGAGGGCTGGAGGAAAGCCTCAGCATCCGGAGGGAATGAAGTTGGGTGGTGACTGGGGTGGGGGGAGGAGCGGGAGCGCCAGGGCCCTGGAAAGGGGAAGGGCATGCGCCCCCACCATTGCCCCACAGATGGCTGTCTCCAACTGTCCCCACGTCCCCCTCGTACAGACTCCCAGGAATCAGGCTATGCGCAGAGGGAGCCCCTCACCCCATCCTTTCAGCCCACCCTTTGTCTCCCCCCGCTTCTCCAGTGTCTCCTGTTTCCCCCCTGGCCCCCTGCACCGGCTCTCCCTCTGGCCCCGTTCTTTCTCCCCTCCCTCTCCCTGCTTCCCTGCCTGCCTCCCTCTCTGCCCGGCTGCAGTTGGGTGATAATCTCCCTCATTTAGCCTCCTGGCTGCTTCCCCGGCTCATTGCCCAGCTGGTCCCTGGGGCCCGGCCCAGCTTCTTCCCCACCCCCACCCCCAGCCCAGCGCCCAAGCTCTCCCATCCCCTCCCTGCCCCCTCTACCCCTCACCCCCGCTCCCAGGGGACAGGCTGCCCCCTGCAGTGAGCATCAGGGCCAAGCGTAGCTGGCCAGAGCCTGAACTGGGTGTGATCAAATGGGAAGGGCTGTCAGGGACTCCAGCTGGGAGTGTGAATGCCCCACTCAGAGGGGGGCCAGGGTGGTGGGGTGATCACAAGGTCTGGCTGGGAAGCCTTAGCCAGGTGTCCTCTGTCCCCTGTTGTCCCCATTCCCCAGATTTGTTTCCAGTTCAATTCTTCTCCCCCTCTCCCCCCATGGGGTGAACTAGCCTTCCAGACCAAGAGAGAGAACGGTGGGTGGACTGCGAGGTGAGAGTAGAGTGGCATTTGTACAGCCTCCCAGGGCAGGGCATGGGATTGGGGGCAGAGTCGGAGGTGACAGCGAGGGCAGAAGGGTTCTGACTCAGAGCACCTGGGGGGGGGGGGGCAGGAGGTGATATTCGGGCAAAATAGAACCTCCCAGAAGGCAGCTTGCAAGGGCCCCTCCAGGTCTTCCTGCATCAGGGCTGCTGGGGCTCTCTCTGCTCCCCGCACAGGGACCCCCACGCTGAGCCCTTTCCCACCACATGTGGCCTCAACTCCTTGTCTTGGTGGCCCCATTCTAAATGACATGACCCCCAAACTCATAGAAAGCGTTCCCCTGGAGAGAGCCCCCAGCCTCCCTCCCGGTCCCAAAGGACACCCCTTTGCCCTCCTCGACAGCCCAGACACCTGTTCCAGCCCCCCGGCTCCGGTGCAGACGGACGGAGGGATGAGCCGGTGTGGGTGGGCAGGGACCGCGCTGGGGGTGGAGGCCGGGACTGGGCCAGGCCTGGCTGGTGAGCAAGCAGCGGTGACAAACGGGCTGTGCGGGGGCTGAGGGGCGGGGGGCGGGCCGCGGCTGATTTATCTGGGTTATTTATGCTGCGGACGAGGCAGGAGGAACGGTTAATGAGAGTCCCAGAGAAGGGGGGTGGGGAGGCCCGGACGTGATCTGAGGCGACTTAGGAGGGTTAGTGTCCCACCACCAGGCCCTTCCCCTACTGCCCTCTGCCCTCTGCACCCCAGACACCATCCTAGGGACAGCCCAGACCCCACTCCTGTGGCGCCCCCACCCCCCTTTGGGATGCCCACACGGAGACAGTGGGGCACTAGGGACTGAGGAGGCCTGGTCCAGGGTTGAGGGGCGGCTGGAGGGCCTGGGGAGGGGGCCAGGAGAGGGCTGGGAACGAAGAAAGATAAATCTTGGCTGGACAGAAACTGACCAAGTCTGTGGGGCCTTTGGGGTAGGGGTGGGCGGGGGGGGGCAGTGTAGCAGTGGGTGGGCAGCTGGCCTTATCGGAGCTGAGGCTGGAGAGAGGGCATTGGGGTGCAGATCTGGTGTCAGCTAGAAGCCATCTCCAGGCCTGAGAGGCAGGGGGGTAAGGGGGGCAGTGCAGGTCAGAGCGAAGAGAGAGCCAGGGAAGGAGCGGGGAGAAGATCCGGAGGAGGAGGGGGAGAGGGCTTTGCAGTAGTGAAAGCTGCTGGGAACAGATAAGGCGGCACAGCAGCAGGAGGGATTAAAGCGCTGAGGGGTGGGGGCGGGGGCGGGGGCGGGGGCGAGGCAGGGAGGAGAGGGTGGAGGGCAAGACATCAGGACCGAGGAGATGATGGGAGAAACGAGGGCTGCCAAAAGGGCAGGATTTAATCAGGAATGAGAGGTGCTCACCTAGGAACGAGGGGGGATAGAAGGGACCCCAGAGCATCTCCTGTGGAGGGTGGTCTTTTCAACCATACCCTGCCCGTGCCAGAGGCAGCAGAGCTAAGCAGGAGGGGGGGCATTGCTGAGGGTAGGGTGCTGGTGGGTTGTTGGGTGGGAGGAAGTGACAGAGGCCAGCCCTGGGAGCTGCTGAGCTCCTGGCAAGAGTGAGGGCACGCAGCGCCTCCTAGAGGTGGCCAGTGAAACCCATGGCCATGGAGAATGTCCATAGGGTACCCAGCCAGCCTGTCCTTGGACAGAGGCCTCATCATGCCCAGGGTGGCAAAGGACCTGCATTTCAAGGGGGGCTTCTTTCTGGGGAGAAGTGTGGGCACGGAGGGAGGGCAGGTAGCTTCCCCAGGCCAGCACCCTGGACTGGAATCCCCTTACATCTCCAGCCCTCCTGTCCCCTCCCTGCTCCTTTCAGGGGAGTGTCTGCAGCAGCTCAGTGGTAGAGTTGACGGAGGGAAGGAAGAGGAGGAGAGGAGGGGGCAGGGGGAGGAGAGCGGGGGTGGTGGGTGGGGCAGAGTAATTGCGTGTTTGTCAGTTCTGTCTGTGCTCAAGGGAGGGAGCGTGCGTGTGTGGTGGTGGGTAGAGCTTTGCCACTAGGAGTATGTCTGTTGGCAGAGGCGTCAGTGTGTCTGTCTCAGGGGTCTGGGCTCTCCTTGGCCTCCGCCCCGCTTTGTGTTTTGGGGAAGGTGGTTCTGGGCACACCCAGCTGTGCTCCGTGCTGATGCGGCAGATGTGGCGGGCCCCAGCTGTGTCTGCTTCCCGGAGAGGAGGAGGGGGATGCAATCTGCTCCCCCGATAATGGCTGCTAAGTGCTGGGGGAGGAGATGGAGGAGGGGGTGGGACTGGGGCCCAGGGCAATCCCGCCAAAGGGGCAGGGAGGGATGAGGTCCCCGCCCAGCCTGTCCTGGCCAGCCTCCTGGCAAGCTGTGTTCTTGGCTTGGCCTCTCCCCTGGCTGGTTCTGGAAGCCCATCCAAACCTCCCCGTCCCAGCTCTCCCCTCCACTCGCCCCATCCAGCTGGGTGCCAGGGACCCACCCCTCTCCCCTCTCCCCGGCCCCCAGCTCGCTCCCCCTCGCTGATTTTACAGAATAATCTTTTTATGGAAGCAGAGAAAAGCACTAATGGCAGGAGCGCACCCCTCCTCCGCATCCCTCCCCTCCTCATCCCCCACTTCCCACCCCAGTTCCCTCAGCTCTCCCTCCAGGGGGCCAGCACCCTTACAGTGAGGTCCAGAGGTGACTGAGGCAGGGGGCTCCCTGCTCTCTTCCCTCCAGAGGCAGGGGGCTCCCACATCCTGGGCCCCAAGGGCTGCCCTCAGAGCTGGGTGGGGCTCTAGGCCCCCTTTTTCCTAGTCCCCCTCCTGCACCTGAGCACAAACACACAACAGTGGCTCCATCAGCCTGGGGGGCATGTTACAGCTTCACTAGCCACCCCTCCCCCACTTTGAACACTGACCCTTTCCCCTTCCAGCGCCTCCCCACCGAGTCCCCATCCCCCGGGCATAGGAGGGGGGTCTTGGGGGCCAGGGCCTGACACAGACTTATTGGATTTCACGGTGTTTTGCTGAGAAAATAATTAAATTATCATATTTATGATGGAGCTGCCATGGCCTCTGCCAACCATTCAGAACAGAAGGTCAGGGCTGGGCGAGGCAAGAGAAGGGACCCAGTCCCTTCCTCAGGGAGTTGACCCCAGGCTTCCTCCCAAGCCCAGCAGAGGTGATGGAAGGTCTGGGCCGCAGGAAACAGGAAGGGGCTGAGTCAAGGCAGGTTAGAAGCCACACCTGCTGGAACCCTGGGTGGCTTCCCAGGCGCTCTCGCCCAGCCTGCAGGACCCGAGCGCCTGGGAGGTCACTCCGGGCCCAATCCCCACGTCACAGCCCAGCTGCCGAACAGCTCATCTTCCTAACGGCCTGGCTATGAAATCCTGGGCTCGGTCCCAGGCCCTGGTGCTGAGAACAAGGCTCAGCACCCTGCAGCCTGCTGCCAGGACCCCCTCCTCCCTCCCACCCACGCCCTGCCCCCCCATTCTCTTCGGGTAATTAGATTCCTCTCAATTAGCAGATTACGATCATTACCAGCTCATCTGGCAACTAAGCTCCGCACCCACAGCTGGGGAAGGGGGGGGCACCAAGAGGGGCACCCGGGGGTCATGGGCAAACAGGAGCGGTGGCGCTGGGTTTCTCTGGGGTTTCAGGAATGCGGAGTGGAGGGCTGGGTCCTCCCAGAGACAAAGCCAGGATGGTGGGAGGTGGACGAGGGCACCAGGAGGAGGCCATAGGGAGAGAAACCTGGGGCAAGGAGCTGGGGAGCCACTGCCATTAGGGGGGATCCCTCCCTGCCCATCTGTGCCCTGCCCTCCTCCCCCAAACAGCGCTGCCTATGGGGATGACGGAGGGAAAGGCAGCAGCGAGGCCCATCGTGCCTGCCAGGGGAGAAGACAGACACCAAGCTCCGGTGGGCGAGGGGGAAGCCATCGCCCTGCCAACAAAGCTGGGCCAGGAGCGGATGGAGCTGGCAGGGCAGAAAAACGGGCAGGGACGAGGCAGAAACTGAAGATGGGGGATGTCTGTGACCCAATCTCCGACTTGGGGCTCCCAGGCTCTGCGTCTACGGCCACTTGACTGCCCAACAGAAATCCTTTACCCTTCCCGTGGGAAGTCCTCCACTCCCAGGTCTGAGCCAAACGCAGTGAAGAGGAACAGGTAGAGGGGCGGGCAGGCGGGCAGCACCAGGGCAGGGGTGAAGCCGGGCCGGCAGGCTGGGAGCCTTGAGGGCCTTTCTCTAGCGGCAGTGCCGAGGCTGAGGCAGTGGGAGGGGGAGGTTTACGGGGCTCCGGATTCATTATTCATGAGCCCGCAGCAATGACTCCAATTTAAATGCTAATGTGGGTGGGGGGCCTGACTCAGCTGCCCCCCTTCCACCCCCACACCAGTCCAGGCACAAGCTGAGTCCTCACCGGCTCCAAGGTTCATGGGGTTTATTAGGGAGCAGCGGAGAGGGAGGCCGAGCCCTCCACCCACCCACGTGGCTCCCAGTGTGTGAAGATTCTGCCTCGCTTCCCCAGGTCCAATCTGGACAGAGACTGGAGAGGTAGGAGTTGGGGAGGGGCCTTCTGGCGCCCCCCACCCCCCTTTCAGAGGATGATCTGGTTGGTAAAACTTCGGCTCAGCTCCTTGTGTGGCAGAACAATCGAGTTCAGGATGAGCACCTCAGCAGGGATCCGGACGCGGCAGCCTGCAGTGTGGACGAGGGCACCAGGAGGAGGCCATGGGGAGAGGAAACCGGAGGCAAGGAGCCGGGGAGCCACTGCCATTGGGGGGGGGGGGCCTCCCTGCCCATCTGTGCCCTGGCCCCATGCCCCCAGTGACTCACACTGGGCCTGGCACACAGCAGGCACTTGGTAAATGTTTGCTAAAGGAAAATACACACACACACACACGCCCTCACACACGCCCTCACACAAGCACAGATTCTCTCCCCGTAGAGCCCACCTATCACCTGTGGCGGTTTCTCACAGCCCTGAGTCCCCTGGGAAGCCATACCCAGGATGGTGATGGCAGGCAGCAGCTTCCCGTCCTTGAAGAGGCTCTCACTGTCCATGTGGGCCCGGGGGTCGTTGGGATTGGGGTCATTGGGGGTACCCTCCACGCGGGACCAGCGCCCCACCGTGCTCCCCCAGCCCACAATGCTGTGCAGCACACATGTATGCTCCTGCCAAACAGGACAGTGTGAGGTGAGGGGGGCAGAGCCCATGGGGTTCCCCCTCTCCCCAGCTTCTTGGGGCACATGCTGGGGTGCCTACCTGCAGCGTGGCTCCATGGAGGACAATGCTCTCTCGGAGCCGCACACCCTCGCCCACGGTCACCCCCTCCCCAATGGAGACGTTGGGGCCCAGCTGTGGAGAGGAACATATACCATGAGCCCTGGGGGGGGGGGGGTTGGAGGACCCCAAATCCAACCTGCTCATAAGCGGGGAAGGAACCTACTTGAGGCCATGTGACAGGATATGACAAACATAAGAGACTATACTCCGAGCTCTGGAGATACCCGCCCCACCCCGTCCACCTTCCTCCCCGGGCTGGGCCGCTGCTTACCACAGCTGATGGGGCCACCTTAGCCGTTGGGTGGATGTAAACGTTTCCTAGAAGCAGAAGAGAGGACTGGAGACAAATGCCCCAAACCATAACTGGTTCAGAGAGGCCAGGGACTCAGATTTCACCTCTGGGTCTGAGGTCCGGAGTCAAAGCTCTGAGGGCAGAGGAGACTGAGGGGGGAAGGGGGAAGGGGCAGAGCTTAGGAATTGTGGCAGGATGGGTACCTCGGATCCGCGGCCCCCCTGGGCTGTGCTTAGCCAGGCGTTCGGGGTGAGTGAGCTGGTACTGACCCAGATAGAGGCGGGAGGCATAGAGGGCCGAGCTGGGGGGGATACAAAGTAGAGCAGGGGCTCAGGGGCCAGCAGGGCCTGTGCCCACCGTCCCGAAGTCTCAACCCCCCAGACACCCCATCAGAGGTCTCTCCCATACCCTGCAGACTTGATCTGGCTCCAGATACCGTCATTAAGGTGCACGTAGATCTGGCCCTGCCCAGCCAGGGCTGAGAACACGTCCTGCTCCAGGCGGATGGTGCCTGCCCCCCGCCACAGGCCTGAAGAGTCCTCCCTGGTAGAGGGGACAGGACGCTGACATCAGTTCCCCAGCTGAGCCCACTGGGTGGCCGGCACAGCCTCTCAGGAAGGGAAATCGGAAGGGAACCCCACTACCTTGTAAGGCCTAGTCAGATCCTCTCCCAAAGATGCTCACCTCCCAGGAGGCTCACCCACCGCTCAGCCCCTCCCTCTCTCAGCTGGGGGAGGTCTAGATCTGCTACCCATCCTGCCCCATGTCCAGGAGGAGTTCGACCAGACATGGCCCCCCCCCCCCAGTTATCCCATTCCCCTCCCATCTACCCCTCTAAGCCCCACCTCCGGCCCCTCCCTCTCACTGGATGGAATGAAACACAGACAGACTCACCCCAGAGGAAGGCAGCTGGTGAGGGCAGAGACAGTCACAGAAAAGGAAGGAGAGAGAGATGGTAGAGATGCCAGTTCAGCAAAAACAAAGAGGCCAGGAGAGATGGAGAGAGAAGCAGAGATAAGAGTGGGAGTGAAAAGATGGCTACGAGGGAATGAGGCATGAGAGGTGATGAAGGCAGGGGAGCCACAGAAGGGAACCGTTCCCCGGCTTAGGAGGGCCACCCTGGGATTGTGGTTTGTGGTGAGCATAGCTCCCTTTAGGGCACTAGACTCCAAAGGGAGCCTCCTCAGCCTGAGAGTGTGTGCACGCGAGCGCACGCACGTGCACACACGCATGCCTGCACCCAAACATATGTGCACCCAAGTGTGTGTGTTACCGTCTGTTCTGAAAGACATCTCTGGGACACTCAGGGCTTGCGAGAAATGGACCAGAAGGGGAGTGGGCAGGTGGTGACAGAAAAGGAACTGGGAATGGATACGGAAGAGGGACAGAATGAGGTTAGAAGGGGAGGAACTGGAGAGGCTTGGCTGGAGATGACAAGTAGCAGGGGAAAGGGAGGAGGAGATGGAGCTGGCTGAGATGGAGCCAGTAGAGACGGGGGCAGAAGGGGCTGTGACTCAGGGTACTTGGAGTTACTGGGCCATGGGGTCTGCCTCACAGTTGCCCGTTCTGCTGATTGCGCTGGAAGACATCCCGAAGGGGCTTCAGGGCTTCCGGGGAAAAGAGATAGATGCCGCAGTTGATGATGTCACTAACAAACGTGCTGGGTTTCTCCACATAGTGCAGGACCTGGGGACAGAGCGGGCTGGGGTCAGCAGAGGAGGGGCCACGGCCACCATCCCCTAAGACCCTCCACATCTCCAGGTCCTCCTGTTGCCATGGGAGTCTTCCTAAAATGCAGAGCATGTCTTGTCACTGTCCTTCAACTTCACCTTCAAGAGGAGTCTGAACTGTCCGCCTTCTTCCTCCCGATCCTCCCCACCTCCCAGCAGTTTCAGGACACAACTCCATGCCGCGGCATGCCGGTGCCTTTTGGAATGCCCTTAACCAACTCTTCATCTGGAAGACTTTGCTTTCAAAAACCCAGTTGACATTGTCACTCCCTCTCTAAGTACATTCTTGTCTGCCCCAAAGTCAGCTTCTCAGCTCTGGGCACTCCTGTTCTCACCCACCCACTGTGGCACTTGTGTCATCTGCATTGGTTGATTTTTGATGTCTCTCCCCCAGACTAGGGCTCCTGAGAGGCAGGATTGTGTCTTTCCGGCTGTTTCTTTCATACCTATTTAGTGTCTAACACAAAACTCTGTGTGTGTGTGTGAGAATATCCTATATAATAAAAGGCTAATATGCAAATCAACTGAATGGCAGAATGACCCGTCGCTATGACACACACTGACCACCAGGGGGCAGACACTTAACACAGGAGTTGCCCCCTAGTGGTCAGTGCACTCCCACAGGCCAGAAGCCGGGCTCATGGTTGGAGATAACTGCTTAGGCTCAGTCAGACACCTTTTGAGGGCTTCCGGACTGCGAGAGGGCACAGGCCAGACTGAGAGAAACCCTCCCCACCTCCCTGAGTGTATGAATTTTTTGCACTGAGCCTCTAGCGTGTGTGTGTGTGTGTGTGTGTGTGTGTGTTTACAATCGTATTCACATATGAATATTTAATACTAAAACTTGAACAGACAAAAGGGGTGTGTGAAAGTCAGTGAGGCTCTAGAGCAGAGAGTTTCAGAGATAGGGACAGAGATCTCCAGCCCCACCCCACCTTGCTAATTATGCTCCCACCTCCCCAATTCTGAAGGCACTATGCTGTTTCCTAACTCCATGTCTTTGCATATATCGTTCCCTCTACCTGCAATGCCTTCTCCTGTCTCCTTCATGCTGACAAATTTAACTCAGTTCAGACCTCACCTCCTCCAGGGAGCCCTCCCCACCTCCACCCAGGTAGGCCCTTTTTGTGTTGTCATAGCACCCTGTGCATATATCTATTGGAGCACCACACTCATGGCATTTATCTATTACCTCTTCCTAATCTTTCTTAAAGGGACAGAAGGGAACAACTGAGGGTGTGCCACACCTGTTAGACAACATTGGGGCCCACCCCATAGCGTTCCAGCATTCTCTAGAGGCTGAGGAGTGGGGAAATGATGATACAGCCAGCCTCCACTCTGCTCTTACCTCATGTGTCTGTGGATTCTCTACAATGCAGCCATAGTTGAGGGACTGTGTCCTGTTAGCCTGAAAGACAGATACACCGAGGCAGTGACCTGCCTGCTCCAGGGCAGCAAGGTCTGTTTTCTCTTTCTTGCTTTCTCTCTCCTATAGCATATGGCACGTAGCTCTGCCACTGACAAGCCTTCAGATGGGGTGAGTACTGACAGCTGCCCACCCCGCTCTACTTCTGAGCAGCCGAAGGGCTCAAGGTCTCTCTCCACCGCCATCTCCATTACTGCAGGGGTTTCTAGCACCTACCCCTCCTGACGTGCATTCCCACTCCAACTCCCTGTTCTGGCCCTGCCTCCCAAACACCCCGCATCCCAGGAACCTCTCTGGATCACCCCCTCAACACCCTCCAGCCCCCCTCACCGTGGTGCCCAGGAGCAAGAAAGGGTGAGGCTGGTGTCTGTGGGCAGCCAACATAGAGCTCAAGGGGAAGTCGGAGCAAACATCAGCGTTGAGCACGAAGAAGGCCTCAGGGCCCCCAGCCAGGATCTGATCCCGGAAGTGGTAGAGACCACCTCCTGTGCCCAGAGGGGCAAATTCCTGCAGGTACCTGTCCCCAGAGACCCCGGAGCCAGATCAGTGAGATCAGAGGAGTCAGATACCATGAATCTGGGCAGTGACTCCTCCTGTTCCCAGAATATGCCTGCCCAAGGCCCACAGAGAAACTCAATATATACAGGAATTCAGAAACCTCCTAGTGTGTGAGAGTGCCTTCTGGCAATGCTGGCTCAACCCACTCCTGAGAACTCAGATGCCTAGGGCACTGTTCCCCCACCCCTACACAGCACATGCACACAAACACCCGACCTGACCGGAAGGTTAAACTCTTGCTGTGCAGCTTCTAGGAACCGGGTAAGTGGCTCATCAGGTTGGTAGAAGCCAATGAGCAGAATTTCCTGCATCCCGGGGACCTGAGGTCAAGGGAAGAGGTTGAGAGAAAAACAGCATCTGATAGGAGGGAATTATGGGAGGGAGAAATCCCGGGTACTGGCCCAAAATCCAGAAACCATGCGTTTAGCCTCAACTGTGGCCTTGGGCATTCATTTTACCATGCCGGCCCAATTTCTCCTCTGAATAATGAGGAAGTTAGAGTCTATTTCCCTTAATTAAAAGACTCTCAAAGTTAGAGTCTTTTCATCTTTTATTATTCTATTATCCCCCCACCCCCTAATCTGAAATGGAGTTCACCCTAGGAAAGCTACATTACAGGATAATCCATTCATTTCCCCCATATTTATTACCTATCAATCTGAGTTTAAGATCACTATGAGATTAAGGGTACCATTTATCAAGTGTCTACATTGTACTAATTTCTTTATAAACATCATCTCTAAGCTTCACAATCCCTCAAAGTAGGCCTAAGCACTCCCACTTTACAAATAAGGAAACTAAGGCTGAGAAATTTGCTCAATTCCTTTTAGCAGGCAGAGACTGGACTCAAGTCAACCTTGTCAGTCCCAATACCAAAAGCAATAAAGGAATTAGCTCCATAGTGAGCAAGAATAGCATGATTCTGTGCTTTGTTATCATTAAAGTTTCTCATGCTACAGCTTTAAGTTGTCTCTAAGATTCCTGCCTACTCTCACATTCCATAGGCATGAAATAAGAGCAAGAAGCAGCCAGACAAGAGGCTACATTAGGAGAAGACACATGACAACTGCATTGGTGGTGATGGTGGAGGGAGATGATGCATAGTGTCATTTGTAAATGGTGGTCCCTGGAGTTAGGCCTGGTGGGAAGAGGTCATGGTTGGTAAAGGGGGAAATATAGCATGAAGGAGATGAATGGAGGTGGGAGAGGAGAGCCTACGGGATTACCTGGGCACAGGCCTCAATGTGGTGCTGAATCATAGGGACCCCTGCCACGGGAAATAGGGGTTTGGGCACCTCAAAAGACAAAGGTCTGAAGCGAGTCCCTGAGAGAGGAGAGAGAAGCATATTTTTGTTTTCTGCTTCCCTCTACCCCCATGCCACCAATCACTCCAGCCCAACCTTCCCCTGGCTCCTCACCCTTTTGAGGGCCTCCAATCAGGATCACAGCTTTAAGCATGGCGGCAATTGCTACCTAAACCTCAAATAGCAAAGAAAAGTTAGGCTCAGATCTCACAACCCACTCATAACCCAAACAAACCCTAAACCCAAAACAGCAACACCGAGCTCTCCCAGGACATAAATCCAATCTAGTCCCTCTCTGGGCTCACCATCTCACACATCTCAGATCCCAACCCAAATCCAGTCAGCCTTCAAACCTCACAATGATTCCTCCCAAATTCTGAAATCCACATCCCACAATTTGATCCCTAACAGACTTCCTTCTGGCTGAAAACTCGGCAAACTCCAAAACTCAGCAATAGACCTCCTTCTCACACCCCAAACCTTCAAAACCAAACCCCCAAACCACTGATTACCGAATTGGTCCATCCTCACTCTAGATATTAAGCCCTGAATCCTAATAGTGAATCCTGATATTGAACCTCAAATCCCGAGTGAGGCCCAAATATTTCACTACAGTCCTAAGAGTCCACCTTAAGTAACATTTACAACTCCAAACCCTTTTTCTGCTGACCCTAATTCCTAAAATTAACCTCTAGGACTAGGTGATGATCCCTAAATAAAAGACAGGTTCCCTTAGCATCCCAAACACAATATGCCAATTCCCTGTGTCCCAAGACTGATAAGTGCTGAATCTTTGGGTTCAGAGGACTGACTGATTGCTGACCCTCTGAACCTCACAACCGACTAATAAACCCTAACGTCGCGTATGCAGGGTTTGGGGGACCAGCACTGCATCCGACGTGCGGAGAGCCAGCCGGGACCCCCGAACCACTCTTCGTCTAGGGGCCGTGCCCTGCCCTCTCCCGCTTCCGCCACCCCTCCATCAGGTCTTTTTACCACCAGTCCCCTTTCTGCCAGCTCTGCCGCCCGCTACCGCTAGCTCCTTCCGCGCACGTGTCTTCTCGCGACTCGCGAGAACTTCGCAGAGTCTGCCGGGAATTGTAGTTCTTAAGTTTCTCCCTCGTTCCCACTGAGAAAAAGGTGGAACTTTTGGAAGAACCTATGGAGGCGTGGCCAAGGGATTGAAGGGGAGGGTCGAAAAAAGAGGAAGGATTCAGCCTGAGAAGCAGAGCCCGGAACCCGGATTAGGATCAAGAGCTGCCTGGGAATGGGCCCGGGGGGTAGTAGTTAAAGCGGAGAAAGTAGGTCCCAGGGGAAGCGAGCCTGGGGTGTGGTCACCCTTGAAAGGACTAGGGCAGCACGCACACCCCCCACGAAAGGGTGAGGCTGGAGGGTTACAAAAGAAGAGAAGGAGTCGTAGACGCCTCTACCCTCCTGCTGGGAAGTGCAGCAGCTTCCGACCGCGAGGAGCCTGTCTCACTCAGATTTACTGTCTGCAAATAAAGGCACTGGACTAGGAACTCTCCAAACTTCCCTCTGCCCCCAACACTGTGACTTTGGCGTGTGGGTACCGGGGAGTGGACATGGCGACTCATAATAAGAAAACAGAAGCGGAGGGTCAGAGAGAGCAGCTTTATTAAGCAAAAAAAGAAGAGGGTTATTAGTACCACCCACCCCAAGGCTTGGAAACAGAGCGAAAGTTCCGAGGGTCCCTTTCAGGCCACGTCCACGCGAGCGAAGCTCTGGTCCATGCCCAGGCTGTTCTCCACGAACACCTCGTACTTGCCGCTGTCCTGCGGCGTGGCCCGGCGGATGGTCAGCGTGGTGTTGGTGCTGCCGATCTCGAAGTAAACCCTGCAGGGGGAGGGGGCGGGGCCGCGGGTCAGTTTACGGGCTTCCCGGCAGCTCCGTTCTTCGCCTCCCAGTTCCCCTCCCTCGTCCCATTCCCGCGGGTTTTCCGGGCCCCATCCGGCCCAGGTTCCGGCGCCAGGCCCTGCCCTGGCAGCGGGTCCCCGCCCTCGCCTGTCATCCTCCTCGATGGATGTCCTTCCCGTCCTTGGTCCAGCCCACGTCGGGCGCAGGCTCGCCCATTATCTCCGCAGTCAGAGTCACCGTGGAGTCTTTGCGCGCCTTAGTGTTATCCGGGCCCTTTTGGATTTTCGCCGGGACTAGAGAAAGGGAAAGGGAATGCGACCCAGTGAGGGACCTAAAGGTCAGGCGGGACATCACCCTCCCTCCCAACTATTACTCCCCTACCCCGACCCTAACTACGGTATGGATTTGAACTCCCCGCGTGACCTTGGGCAAGTCTTTAGCCTCTCTGGGGCTTCAGCAGCTCAGCTGTCGAACGAGACTAATCCCTGCCTCTCCTACTTCCTAGGATTGAATGGAGGATGAGAAGAGATGCTATGGGTGAAAGCCCAGGAATGCTCACACCTCTCGGGGTGCCTCAGAGACAGCTCTGGATAGTGGACATTGCTCTGGGTTGGGAGCCAGAAGATCAGGGCTCTCTCTAAACCCTAGCTCTGCTTCTGGATCGCTGTGACCTTGGACTTCTTGGTCTGGGTGGGATGGGATCCCGAGGTAGAAAGGACTGCACAGGCCGAGCGGTGCGGCACCGCGCCCTACTCTGTGCCTCAGGCTGTGCCAGGGGCTGGGCTGACCACATGCCCACCCGGACTCAGTTAGGCCGGGGGATAAACGCGCGGCTGCATCGGCTGCAGATGCCGCGGGGGCGCACGTACCTTCCACGAGGATACGCACAGAGTCGGAGCACTGGCTGAAGGGGTTGGTGATGTTGATGCTGTACTGGCCCAGGTCCGCCAGCTCGCCGTCGCACACCACCAAGGCCACGACGTCGGGGTCCTCGAAGACGTTGGGCCCATCGCGCAGCTCCTTGCCGTCCTTGCTCCAGCGGATAAACGGGTCCGGGAAAGCCGAGATGTGGCAGGTCAGCTTGGCCGCGCTGCCCTCGATCAGCACCACGTCCTTGAGCGGTTCCAGCACGCGCGGCGGGCGGGTCTCCGCAGCTCCTTCTGGGACCTGCTCGCAAGCAGGGTCAGGGCCCAGAGACGCCGTTCGCACCCTCCCGCAGCCCTGTCCGCCCGCCCCCAGTCCCCTGCCCGCCCCCTCGGCCAACTAGACCCTCAGAGTGGGGGAGGCGCGGGGGAGGGGCCGTTCCTGAATCATTACCCTGATGAAATGGTCTGCTCTCCTGGGCCTCCTGCCACACCTCAGCAACTGCTCTCCCCTGAATCCAGTGGCCTTAGTCGTCCCTGGCCCTGGGCTCAGGACCGCCCCGTCCACAACGCGAGAATGCGGATTCTGCAGTTCCAGTCCCCTTCCTTCAGAGGCTTTAAGGCTCCCCTCTCACCTGTGGCCCCGGTAAGAGGCCTGGATATGAATGGCCGCTTTCTGGACCTGGGGGTCGTTGATATCCAGGGTACATCCCGGAGGCGGGGCCGTAGCCGCCGGCTTTTTGGCGGGAGCTGCTTTGGACATCTGGGCAGCGAAAAACAAACACGGGGATCTAGGCTAACCCAGAGACTGAGACCTTCAGCCTTTGCCCTTCGGATTCAGAACATCCCCCGGGATGGACGTGTCCAGAGCTGGTCTGAGGACAGGACTCACCGTGGGGGTGGGGGTGGAGGGGCGTCGACTTCGGACTTGAGGGAACTAGGTGGGTAGCAGGCGGTGCGATGCCCTTCCGATGGCACAGCAGGAGCGCGGGCAGGTGCTCAGCCCTGGGCCCTGGTTTTATACATCGCTTCCCTCCTTGCCTTGTTTGGTGTGGTTGCCCCAAGCCCCCCCAGGACCCTAGCTCCCGCCCCTTGAACAAAGCAGGCTCTTTATTTAGCTCGAGGATGCCTGGGCTGCTGGCTCAGTCGCTAGAATAGGCCTAGGGGGTGGGGTTGGGGGAAACTCGAGCGGCTCTGGGGTGCACCGGGCGTCAGCGCCTGGACAGCTGGACAGCTGGACAGCTGGACAAGGCCCCATCTCCTCCCAAGGCAAGGGGTGCCCTCCCACTCCGGGGAGGACCAGACAGACCCCACGCCGGCAGGAAATTCAACTCCTTTCGGGGGCAACTTGACACTCAGTGGGTCCCTGGACAGTGGGACAATGTGCCCTTTCGGAGATACTGTAAGTTAAGGAGTGCAAGTGTGTAGGGGTGGGGGTGGGGTGGGGGTGAGGGTGGGGGTGGGGAGGGTTTCTCTGAATGAAGCTGGAGAAGTGGCAGACTTCACTGTCCACCCAGCCAATTATGAGAAGGCCACGTGGCTGTCGGGACCAATCCGAAAGTGCCTTACCCCCACCCCCACCCCAGAGTCTAGGTTGTCATTTCCGCACTGTGCCCCCTAGCGGTAAACCAAGATAAACCTAGAGAGGACGGTCAAGATTTTTAAGAAGTGTCCCTTCCTGCCACCCCCATCTCCACTCACTCTCCTCCACGTGCTATGGCACGGGCCGCACTGTCCCTGGAGATGGGGACTAATACTGACTCAGCAGCTTTGGGTCGGCCCAGGCCCATTATGGGGCACAGCTGATGTATAGGGGCATCAGAGGTGATGGGGACATGCCCAGTGTCCAGTCTGCCAGGCAGAGCATCGCTTCTTCCATTTACTGCAACTGCCCGCCCGAGTATGGAGCACTGTCACCTTCTGATCAGAGCAATTTTGACACAGCTCAGCTGATATAAATTACCTTTGCTCCTCCGGGTTTGGAACAAGCAGCTCATGTGCCATTTCCAATGGAGATGGGAAGGGAGTTCAAGATCAGAAGGGCGACGGGAGAGGAATTTTACCATTTGTCAGGATATGAGTTCAGGCACCTCATTTTTATATGAAAACACTTGCAGTGAGTAGGGGAATTACAGATTCTCACAGGCAAACTGTATATCTTCATCGCTAAAATGACAGTTGAGCTAAAAGATGTCTCTCTGGTCCCTTCCAGCTGCTTTAACTGCTGGTTTATGATGATAGGTATTGCCTTTTCCCTCGGGTCCCGAGAAGCCAGAGGCTGGGCTGGGATGACGTTGTTTGGGCTCCAGCCAAGGAGCCCTCAACCTAGATCAGCAGCACACCAGCACCAGCTCTCTCTGCTTGTGGTGGCAACTTTATTCTTGTCACTTTGTCAAGAACAGGGGCAAGTCTTTAGCCTCTCTGGGGTGAAGGAGGAGGAGGACAGTCCCTTGAACCCAAGGAGAACTGGCGCCCTTCTCTCCCCACCTCAGTTCTAGAACCCACTGACCATTCTGTGGCACTGCAGCCAGAGTCAAGGTGCCTTCACCCCCAGCACACTTCACAGCAGCTTGCCATGGGGATCAGAAGGTCCAGGCTGAGTGTCCCCGGGGTCTAGGAAAATGCTCATCTGTAGCATCATCACAGCAGACACACTGCCCAGAGAACTCACAGCTGCCCCGGACAGCTGGTACCTGGTTGGTGCTCTGACGCTGAGCGCATGGGGGGTGGGCTTGTCCTGGGCTTCACACCATCTGTTCTTATCATAATAAAACCTCCTCTGCTTGGGGCACCGGGGCCAGAGCTGGGAAGCATTGGAGAAAGAAGGCTGAGCCAGGATTGGGGTATGGGCAGGTCCGTTTCAGAGCCTGGCATCTTCCAAGGTGTGACGATGGAACATGTGAGAAAAGGCGGGGACCACCAGCATGTGGTTAGAGCATTGTGGTGAGGATTCAGGGTCCTGCCAGGATTCCAGAAACTTCAGAGGGAAAAGGAGACTGAAGTCTCTCTTCCTTCTAGGAATAAGGGAGGGGTAAGGGGGAGGAGAGTCAGGGAGGGAGGAGGACATCTGAAGGTGCTGACTGGTACACCTGGGCTCTCCCTGGCCCAGAGAAGGCCGGAATACTCCTGTCACAGCTCCTTGCTCCCCGGCCACCT